GTCCTGTACTTTTCATTCACTTAATCTTAACCGTTGACCGAAAACACTCGTCAACATACTTAATTTTTTTATTTTTTTTTTATAATTTGGTAAGTGAATGGCAAAAGTTAATAAAATCAATACATACCATATAAATATAACAAAATAAAATTTCTATCACATTACGATGCCTCTTGCCATGAATGAATATTTTTCCCATTATACTCATGTGGTATAGTTACTCATAAGTAATAAATAAGTGACCTTTGTTTTGGTAAAATTAAATAGCAAATAATGGTTACATAAGAGCATGTTTATTCGCAAATATTTAGGTGCGTCCTGACACACCTAGCAAGGTGTGCCAAAACAACTGCCTTGGCACAACTTGCTAGATGTGCCAGGGCGCACGGTAGTAGCACTGCATGTTTATTCATAAGTTATAAATGGAGTATTTTGTTTAATTTAATTATTTTTTCTAACAAAGGAATATTGATAATCATTTTCCCTGAAGGAAAAAGAGAAATAAATTAAGAAAGAAATTGTGAAAATGCCTCTGTTGCATTTGGTTCAATTAGGCATATGATATTAATTTTATTCCATTTATGGGCTTTAGTATATAGCTGTATAATTAATTTGAAAACAGCCTAGCATTCAAATTTGGAATTAAGTATAAAAATTAGAGAATTATTCATAATTTCAGCATCAATTTCCTTATAAACTCAACATGTAAATCTCCATGAGATTTAATATTTCCCAGCAAACGTATGATTAATTGTTATATATTATTAACAGAAATTATCTAACTATAATTGCAATTTTAAAGTGAATATTCTAAGATAATAAAATGTGCGATTTCGGTCATGGTTCATATAAGTTAATAAGTTATAATTATATTTCTCTATATATGATTAAGATAGATAAATTACATTTTTACCTTAGTTCTATTTGTCTCTTTCATATTCGAATTTGTACACGACTATTTATATTATAACAATTTTACATGAATTTTCAAAAATATTTCGTTTCACTTCACAGATCGATCACTCAATCACAAAATTCAGACATCTTCAATTTAATTTAGTATCCAAGAAAGTAAAATAAAAATATATAAAACGAATCACATATAAAAGATCTAAACTACGTCACATGAAGCTCACTCAATCACAAAATTCAGACATCTTCAATTTAATTTAGTATCCAAGAAAGTAAAATAAAAATATATAAAACGAATCACATATAAAAGATCTAAACTACGTCACATGAAGCTCAATGAAACTAATAAATAGACCATATATTACAAATCATTTTCAGCACGGGCCTCCAATTTAAACAAGACTTATTATGTGTGCAGTGAAGGCAGTCGGTAGAAATAAATTGGTACATCAAATTATAGTTACCTGCAATTATGTGCTATTAAATAATCGTTCATAATTGTTAATAATTATTATGTAATTTATTTGTCCCACATGAAATTACATTTAGTAATGTAATATTCTTTTGGAGGCTAGATTATATATGTAATTCACATAAATGATTCATTATTGCATGTATAACCCAACTTTTTTAATGTTTTAATTATAACATATAAAAATCTATAGCATAAATAGAAAATATATTAAATCTTAAATTCATAAATAGGTCTAAATTAGAATTAAGATTTTTTTTTCTTTGTAATTTCATTTTTGTGGTGGAAAAAACAGAGTCCATGCATGGGTCAACTAACTAGAAAAATCAAAATAAAGAGAATTAATAACTTATCATTAAATATATCAATATTTTATAAGTTAGATTTAGCTACATATAGGAGGGTCTTTCTCTTAGTCAAAAGAAATCCAAATGCCAATAAATTTTAGGAACATAGGTCTCGTTGATAGAAATTTAGAATTAATCTAAAGTCTAGGGGCCTATATTATAAGATCACTTTACACTTGCTTGAGGCCCCCCATTCATTTTGAGTTTATTATGGTAATTTCATCTAAATTATTATGGCTTTTTATGATAAAACTTAAGGAAATGTTCGTTACGGAACCATTCCGTCGAGATTTGTAACCGTTAGATTTTCATGTAACCGTCAGAGATAGTTGATCTAACGGTTACAAATCTCGACGGAATAATTCCGTAACCAGAACGTAGAACCTTCCAAAACTTAAATGCAATAAGTTAGACAGTCATGCTATCAATTCATAACCCCTATCCTAAGCTGGAACTAAATGATTTTAAGTCTTCTACTATACTGTCTAATAATTAGATATTCATATTCTTCTAATTAGATATTCATATTCATTTTTTGGGGAAGAAAGTATGACTCTCGGTTAGACAGCCTAACAGCAACATTTGTAAGACCTGATTGATATTCTTGCCCATTTCAAGTAAAATACGTGAAGAGTGCTAATTTCTTTTTCACATTTTCGAAAAAAAAATAATTAGAAACTACAATACAGAAAAA